ATTCTGATTTGTCCCTCTGGAATGCAGAATTTCCACAGAACAGATCCTGATTTATTCGTATATTTCAAATTCTTCATGTTTCTATATTAATCTCTGGCACATGAACTGAAAAGATTGCCTGATTCTTCGCTGAGTCTGAGCCGACAGCTTTGCTGGAATGCTTTGCTCTGAGTCACCAAAACAATTCTAAAGCTCAGTGACGATTCTATTATGGGAATGACATCACTTCTTATCATTTTGGAAGAAACACCTTAGTATAGCAATGGCAGACAGTGGTATCATCATCACATCATTCCTAAGAGATGTCAAATGAGAGAAGAAATGCAATTAAAGCAATGGGAAATGAAGACTGGCTCACCACCTGACAATGGTTCTATCTTTTCTAAATGTTATTTGAAAAAAACATCACCACCACCACCACAAAACAGTCTATCTTTCCCCATACAGTCCACTTTGCCATGCTAGCCAGGACATCTTTCTGTCTCTGGCTCTGTTCCACAATGCAGATTTGTTACTGTGAGTCATTCTCACTAACAGGTACTGCGCAGAGGCTCTGGGAAGCCTACCACTCATCTGAATGAGTGCTTCCCTTTCTTATTAGTTAAGGCTTCCTTCAAAATTAGGAAGGACAGTGGTCTCAGAGTGGGAATGAGAGCAATTTCTTGGACAGTAGACTCCATCTGACACAAGCATGAAGGGAAGAGCAGCACAACGGCAATCTGCACAAATGTTAAGAGGATTTGAGGGCAGAAAAGGGCTCCAAAACACAGAGAAATAGGAAGAACCTTATCACAATGCAAAGATGGTATGAGAAATCCAGGACGTCACCAGCTCAGTGACTTTGTGGATGAGAAAATTAGGGACTTCCATGTGTTTTATGGATGGATAAGAATGATGAGAAGAAAAGGCTATGAAAGACACAATGGATTTGAAGAAAGGATATACTGAAAAAAATTAAAATGGAGAAGAGAATTAAAAAAAAATAGTGACCTTCTGCATAAATTTCATTTTAGTTCTTGAATATAACCACATAACAAGACTGTATATTAGTGATTGTTACTATGGAAGCAAGTTAAAAAATTATTGATGTCCCACAGGCAGACTACATGTATTCACCACTACATGAGCCCACAAAATGTGTATTTCTAAATTTTATTTTAAAATGTTTATTATGGCTACAACTTATAGCCTTTAATATATATAATTAATTAATATAAATTAATTAATCATACAATTAATATACTTTGGAAATCTATAATGCATACCTGGAATAAGTCCACGTACCCAGAGATCTGCATTTGCTGGGCAGAGCAAATGCCCAGAGCAATCCTTCCCTGCTTCCCTTTCTACCATCATGACAGATGTCCTACTGGCACTGCACCTGCTGTCTGTGTCCCTCACACACTGAAGAAGTGACTGAGTAAGAGGAAACAGCCTGCAGAAAGTCCTACTTTCATGCTTATTTTGCACTGCTACAATATGTCTACCATCAGAGGGGTTTCACTTGATTTAGCTCAGGAGACGAATCAACCTCACAACATATCTCAAGGTCACTGAATCCACCCACCAATGCATAAACCCCTAATGTTCCTGACTTGCATTTCAAATGTTTGTTCCAAGGCAAAATATTTGCTTCAGAGCCTTCATAGCATGTGGTAAAATACTTCTACTGTATTCCTACAGTGATGGGTCAGCAAGTTTTCACCGCAGTTCATCACCTCATAGGCAAATGACATTGTTTGCAAAGAAGTGGGGGAAAAAAAATTAACCAAACTCAGCAACATTCAGTGGGACAACTATCAGTAGATACTCTTTGACCAGAGGAAGGAAAAGGAAAGAAAGAGGGGAAATAGTGGTGGGGGTGAAAGGAAGGAAGGTTTTCTCCATCTTGGCAAGATTCTTGAGAAAATATGAGAAATTACTTTAATAAGCCACACAATACCAGATGTCTTATTTTACTGCGCGAATAAATCCGTAGAATATTCTTGTTTGAGGCTGTGTTGTTTGATTTTTGAGAATGCAGTGTTTGACATTAAAGCCTGAATCAATTACCCTTAAAAACAATTAAATGCTGATAAATAACATCATTTTAGAAGATCCACTAATTCTCTGCTCCACCCCCAGATTTGCTGCCATCATACAGGGGTTAAGAACCAAACGCAGCCTTCCTCTCAAGTGTAGCTTCCCTCAGAGAAGGGCAGGGAGAAGAAGCTGGCAGGTGCTGTGAAATGCACAAGGGTGGAGCATCTGCTCCTGTGTAGATTTTCCAGCCCTCCCACCCACTACAGGGAGAGATGCATATGAAGTGTGCACACTGCTTATTTTTAGCCAGCCATGCAGAGGGCCATCACATGGCTCTGTCCCATCATTCTGTTCCTCTCAGAGATGGCTACAAACGCCTCCCGCTGAGACAGGATTTTTTCCATTCGTGGTCGGTTTTTTTCCTCTTCCTTTGTGTTACCATATATATTAAAAACGTGCCTGGATGATACATCTTCTTGGTAGTCTCAGTGTAATTCTGCTAATCTGTTCAGACATAGCATCCCTCAATACAACCTAATACATTTCTTCAGGATTTAAATAAACCCCCAGCCTCCTTCCACTCTGAAGAATTGGAAATATAGTTCTGCTTACTGAAAATATTCTTTTTTTTTGGGAGGGGGGAGAGGGGTTTTGCTTTCAAGTGAAAACTATTACTGCTACTTCTCACACCATACTAAAAACTTAAAAAAAATCCTTAGAACTGTGAGGCAATTCTAAGACAAGCATTATTTTCTTCCCCATATGGAGTATTTTTATTTTCTATCTAAGCCCTATTTTTCTGTCGGTTATCAAATTACACTCCATGTGCTCATATTAACCAAAGTAATCCTTTTATGCATTTCAGAGGATGAGGACTTTCACAGGCAGTCCTATTGAAAAGGACACATCATCTTCACTGAAGATATTATTCACAATTCACAGAAAGAGAAGTACAGAAAACAGTACCTTCCTCCAACACAGAACACACTGCTCAGCTTTAATAGCAGCCCATCACCCAGGAACACAGGTGGATGGATATTTCTGAGCTCTGTAGACCTCCAGTGACTAGGCTTTTAAAGGGAAAAATGGAAGGAATTGCAGAAGTTTGCATAAATAAAAGAAATACATTCTAATTTTTTTGCTTTTGAAGGCATATCAAACTGAAAATAGAGCTGCCTTGGAGAAAGTAACAAAACAGAGCTTCCTGCAAAGAGGTAGGATATAATGGTAGTAGGTCTGAAGTCATTAAGCCAGTGAGACGATGAAAACATAAACGGAGTGTTTAATACAATGCTCACATAACTGGAATATTTCTTTCCAAGGTAAGTGGTGTGGAATGCTTGCTCTGATGGCAGCTAAAATGGAGCCCATTATCTCCTAAGGAGGGCTAAGGATTTTCCAGCGTGGAGCGGTTGTGGAAATCTCAGCTAAGGGCTGGAACCAGGCAGAGGTTGAAGACTGAACAGGCACCGAGGCCTGAGGGTGAAAGACTCTCAGAGCACTCAATGGAGCAATGGGATGACAAGTTGGCAGCCTTTACTTAGAAAAGTATGTCTGAATTCATTATTGCAAGGTAGTCAGAGTACAGTTGACACTTTTAGCTACTGTGAGGTTATTGTCTCTATGAACATTCTTATTCTGCAGTAAATGGAACATATCTTATCTTATTCCCACTCAAGATAGAGCAAATACAAATGTCTTCAGAGATACCTAAAGACAACATGCACAGTCTACCTATGACATCACTCAGAAATATACTTCCTTGCTTTATGGTAACTCACCTGCAGCCATGCTGCCTGAGAATCAAACAGCCAGCATAAAGCAAACCACCTACTTGAGAAGCAGTCGCCCAGCTGCTCTGGGTAAAGGGCCAGTTGAAGGTAGAGCAGAACTGTGAGTGATACAGAAGGAAGTGCTGCTGCTGACCATCTCTAAACTAGGCTGAGAAATTATATATATTTATGTGCAATAGTCTTTATCCAGAATAAAATATGACTGAGACATTTCTTTCCTTGAAGGAACAATCCTGCTCAAACCAAAGGAACAAACATGCTCATACCACATGTCCCTCAGAGAGCTGAGCATGCCCTGAGGGCGACATACCTGCCATCCAGCTCCTTTCCTTTAGACCCTGCACACTAACCTTCTGCACACACACAGTGGATATTAAGGTCTGGAGTACCTTTCCTATGAAGAAAGGTTGAGGGAGCTGGGCTTGTCCAGGCTGGAGAAGAGAAGGCCTTGGGGAGATAGCACTGTGTCCTTCCAGTATTTGAAGGGAGCTTATAAATATAAGGGGAGTGATTTTTCACATGTTCTGCTAGTGATAGAACAAGGGAGAATGGCTTTAAACTAAAAGAGGGAAGATTTAGATTAGATGTTTGGCAGAAATTCTTTATTCAGAGAGCAGTGAGGCACTGGCACAGCACTCCAGAGAAGCTGTGGTGCCCCATCCCTGGAGGTGCTCAAGGCCAGGTTGGATGGGGCCCTGGGCAGCCTGATCTGATGGGTTGCAGCCCTGCCCATGGCAGGGGGTTGGAGCTCAATGATCTTGAAAGGTGTCTTCCAACCCAAGCCACTCTATGATTTGCCAATCAGACAAGTATACCACACCTTAAATTCTATTGGTTCAGAGTAAATTTAGGGGTGTACTTAAACATATATTGAAGATGCTCTGCTACATTAGCTGCAGGATGCTAACCACTTCAGATTAAAGAAATAAAACTGTCTCTGTGAAAGGAAACTCCTTTGTCTCCTTTATAGGAGACCGTAATACTCTGCTTTGTAAAATTACATTTAGCCCTGCACATATTTAAAAACTTGCAATGAATATGTAGTAAATAAATGCAGAATTCAGTGCTCACATTGCTGCACATCTCTGCAGAAGCAGCTATCAACAACCAACAAAAAAACATCAGAGAATGGATAATGCAACCTGCACTTGGTCTAAAGAAAAACAGGAATAGGTAAGACATTACCTGGTTATAGTGTAACAGTTCTTATGGATTCATCCCAGCAAGCCTCTGGAGACGTGCTTGTTCTTCACAACTATTATGCATTCTTCAAGAAATGTCAGCATCCAGCCTGAATATTCAATCTGTGTTGATGTCGTCCCTTCACAATTCACACTACTGTCAGTTATTCAGCCCAGTCAAACAATATTTTTTGTTTCCTGAAAGAACAACAGAGCATTGTAAACAAGCAAATAATCAGCGATTCACTTTCAAGATTCACTTCAGATGACTGCAGCTAAAACTACCAAAAAAAATCACTTTCAAAAATCATTAATGTCTTCATGAGCACTCTCTGAATATTACCTGAGCACAAATTCACATCAACAAATAACGACAAATTGCACTTGTCTTTCTTTTCAAAGTATAGCTTCGTAGCTTTTAATAAAATGTAGCCAAAGGCAACAAAATACCTTGCGGAAATTCTACTTGCTCAGCTTTTCCACTGCTGCCTCTTCAGAGAGATGCTTTCTGCACAGTGAACCACAGCACGTATAGAGCACTGCGACCTTTTTGATTTTGGTTTCAGCAACAAGGTCAACAACACTGAGAAGAACAGCTTTGCCTTAAAGGTAAAATCTCTCCAACAATCTAAAATGGATCTTTTAAATGTAATTGAACTATAATAATTCATTTCCATAGGCCACAGGAACAAAATGCCTTCTAGATTCGCAACCAATTTTACAGTATTTGGCCACTGACAATACATGTAGGCAGAGAAGCTGGACTATTACTTCTTGGAATTCATGCAATGTTAATTCAGACAAAAATTTTTAGGTGAAGACTGACAACCAACAAGAAGCCCTGCAGATGAATACAGAATGATCCAGGCCTGTCAGAGACAGGGAAGGCTCAGAACACTGGGGAAGCCAACACTCCACTCCTGCAGTCAACAACCTCTGCACCCAGGAAGTGCCTTTGCCTGCTGCCAGCATGACTGGTTGCTCTGGGACTGGCTGCCTCAGGGTACCTCAGAGAGATCCTTAAACCATGGACACCCCTTTTTCAAGTTAGCATTGTTGCTAACAATCAACAGCACAGATGAAGTTATTTGTCGTCATAACTGAGGGACCTAATTCTTCATTACTGTTGTACACCTCATACAACAGATCTACCCCTGCAAGCGCAATGGTGCCTAGGTACCAGAACAGTACAGTAGTTTTGTAGTGGATATATTGACAGCACAATATTTTAAGAAAGCACATTTGAAATGTGTAAGTTTAATTTTACAGTTTCGCAGTGTGGAAAGCCCTTCTATTTAATGTGCCTGAATAAATCACTACAGGTTGGGTAAGGCAGCAGGAAAGGAGGCCTG